TGACTTATGTCAGACAAAACATATCTGCCTCATAGATGAGAGCTTGCAACCTCCATAATTGACTAAGAAGTTGAAAGACCTGAATCCCTATCATAAATCTATAGGCTAAACTGAAACTGATGTCCAGAAACTCACAGTGAGATGAGAATTTGGTATTAACATCTTCCCTTAAGTGACAATTGAAGTGCAAAGGGGAAAAGACATACCGTTCTGAAATCAGGTGTCGGGGAAGAGGAAGTGGGCCAGCTTCGCACATGTTAAACGTGAACATTATTTTGGTGAGGCATCTACTCCTGCGAGCCTTGGTTCTTTTTTCCTTTTTTCTCACTGCGTCCTCCTGAGTCATAAATTCACTTGTCCACTTTCTTCTGGGGATGCATCTCTCCTGCTCACTGCCATTTAAATTGTCCCAATCGGACCGGAAAGTGAAGGTGGCGTTCGGATAGAAGTATGGAGCTTTGATTCCTGGTCTTAAAGGGTCCTAGGAAAACTGCTGTCTTGACATACATCATAAATATCACCAAAAACTTGAAAAGAGAAAGAGGTCGAGAAAGCAGGAGAACAGAGAATGAAGCCCTTCCCTTCCAGAAGGTTGAGTTACACCGGGCCGCGAGGCATCTAAGACAGCTCTTTATCGTTGGGACGAAGGGTGAGAGGAGGAAGAGGTGATTCCACAGACGTTCCTCAAAAGCAGGATTAATCCCAGCACTTTGGGAGGCCGAGGCAGGTAGATCACAAAGTCAGGAGATCGAGACCATCCTGGCTAACACGGTGAAACCCTGTCTCTACTAAAAACACACACACACACAAAAAGCAGGATTTCCTGTCCAGGGTCTAAACTGCACATAAGCCTCATTTTCCAGGTCATTCCAGGTGTCCACAGGAGAAATGAGGCTTTGGGTTGTTGGCGTCAGGCATAGACACTCAGAACCTACGTTTATCAGAATATGCCCGACGATATTCCACATCATCAGGCATCATACGCTGTGTTTCCCAAAGTGTACAGTGTGGCCTCCAGTGACACACATGATTGAGATGGACCAGCAGGATCCACCTTCCAGTTGCACATTGGTTTTCGTGTGCAAGAGAGAAAGCCGTCAATATGTAACCAGTACACCCAACCCATTGTTCGCTGGTGATAGAAAGGCTTTTGAAAAAACAAATTTTAGTAAAATAAATACTTTTAAACAAAATACACACACTAAAGAGTAGAGAGATGATCTGTGATGTAGAAAAATCATAAAGTTAATAGTCAAATGAAAATGTCAGTTCCTCCTGTCCAGGATGGAGCATGGTGGGAAATGGAGCTGATGTGTGGGGTGTGGGGAGGGGCCAAGCCCTGCCTGCCCACTACTTGACACCACCTTGCTTTACGCAAAAAATGCTTTCCATTTTCTCAAGCAAAATATGTGATTTAGAAGGCGGTGTCAGTGGGAAAGACCTGTTCTCATACTTTCTGGCTCACACGTTGCCCTGTCACTGCCTGAACACCTGGCACTTCCTCCTGCAACTGGAGGCAGTGCCTGGACCCACAGAAAGCCTTTCCTTGTCATGTCGCTTCCGCCCTCCAGATCCTGTCTCCTCTGTCAGACACCATCCTCGCTGAAAAGACCATCACCGTGCTGGACGAGAAGGTGACCATCACAGACCTCGGTGTGCAGCTGGTGACAGGGCTGTCGCTCTCCTTGCAGCTCAGCCCAGGAAGCAACAGAGCCATCTTTGCCACTGCAGTGGCTCAGGAACTTCTGCAGAGGCCAAAACAGGTATGGGGGAGGGTTTGAGACACACTTCAGCAGGGGTCCCACACCAAGTGGATCACACACCAGGCAGGCACCACGCCAGGCGGGTCCCATGCCAGGCAGGTGGCACAATAGAGTGGGATCACATATCAGGTGTTTCTCCGTCTGCAAAGGGCTCTTATGAAGCAGGTGACTGCTCTGCCTCATGTTTTCCAGCTCCCTCATGCAGAGATGAAAAAAATAAATACAAATATATATAAGGATTGCAACATGTAAAAATGAGAAGCCACTAAGGGGCAGGAGCCCTGGAGGAAAGGCCCGCCCCTCATCCACCACAGTGCAGGTGCATGCAGGTGGTCCCCTGTGCTCTCCACATCCTTCCTGCTTCCATGAGGGCACGTGAAGGCTCAGAGCAGGTGCACAGCCTGCTGCCAAGGTCCTGATGGAGTGGAGCGTGACAGACCTGCTGAGTGGGGAGCCCGTGGCGGGACATCGCTTCCAGACCATTCATTGTTCAGCTCAAGGCAGAAACAGAGAATTCATGGGGATGTCAGTCACAATTTTCTTTTACTTTATTTGGAACCAGTGTGAGCTAATAGAGTGTGTTGTGTGTTTCTGTGTGTTGTATGTGTGTATTGCATGTGTCTATGTGTGTTATATGTGTGTATATGTATACATGTGTTGTGTCTATATATGTGTGTTGTGTACATATATGTTGTTTTTGCTTTGTGTGTCTATGTGTATGCATGTGTCTTGTGTCCGTATTTTGTGTTGTTTTGTGTTGTGTGTGTTGCATGTATGCTTGTGTTATATAGGCACCTGTATGCATGTATATGTGTTGTGAATATATTGTGTGTTGTATGTATGCATTGCATGTGTCTATGTATATGTGTCGTGTGTATACATATGTGTGTGTGCTGTGGGTCTGTGTCATGTATGTTTTTGCTTTATGCATGTGTATATGCATGTGTGTCTTGTGTCAGTATTTTGTGTTGTATGTTTGTGTTGTATAGGCACCTGTGTACATGTATATGTGTATGTGTTGTGAATGTATTGTGTGTTGTGTGTATGTGTGTGGTGCATGTGTTTGTATGTGGATACAATGGCTTACAAAGGGGACTGTTATAGGGGACCTTTGAAAGTGGTATGTTCTCCCTCATTAGAGGTAGATAAACATTATTTCTTAGAACATAGGAATTTGGGTGAAGCTCGCTTAACAACAAAACATGGTGGTTGCAGGTCATTAGTTCTTTGTGCCCCATGAAAAGGGATCATCTTCATGTGGGCAGCTGGAATCCCTCCAGCCCAAATGGGCTATTGTTCTGACTGCTTCCCTTCTGGATCCAGAGCCTTTTCTGCACACTCTCCCTCAGCAGAATGAGGTACCAGGCCTGCCCTGCCTTCGTGCACCAGCAGCGGCTGTGACCATGTTCAGAGGAGGCAGGAGTGCCACACTGGACTTGCCAAGAGGCACAAAGCGCCTTCCCACTTTCCCAGCCTGCACCTGTCATGTAATGCTCCCCTCTCAGGCATGAGCTAATCTCCTAGTCCTTATACTACAGTCTTTGTTTGCAGAGTTTTGGATTAGAAAACACTTGAAAGTGGATGATCCCAATAACAGAATTGAATTTTTGGGCAAAGCAAACCTCCTTTTCTCAAGGAAGAATGCCAGCCGAGAGACAAGTTACAGATGGCAATGAAGAAATAACCTGAGGCTTTTCACTGTCTTTGTGGGTGATAACATCAGCTGACCACCAGCTAGGCGTTAAGGAAGGGATAAGATGCAGCTAGAAGAAGGCCAGAAAGCTAATCCGTTCCTGACATGCAGAGCTAAACACGCTACCCTGAGATTTGCTCCATAGGTGGTTTGCAGGGCTCTCACTCCCTGCCTGCAACTTGGCTCTGACAGTGGTAGTTTCAAGAACTCTGTTGTGCATTTGAATGCTCTGCTCAGATTTCGTGGCAGATTGAGAGAACCTGGTAAGTCAGTGTCACGTCCAATAGCTTTTGCACTGTGCCTTGGCAAGGTTCTCCACTTAGCAGGGAGTCCAAGCCAATGTCTAACAGCGTAAGTATTTCTTGGCTGAGCTGAAGGAAGGAGCAGAGGCCACCAGCCACATTTGAGGAGCCTTTCTTCTTACTTCCAAAGACTAAATAACAACTGTGTAAAATTACGTCTGTCATGGTCAGGGGCCAGTGGGTTGTAAGAGAAAAAAGTCCACCCAAGGAAAAGCTTAAATAACAAAGGATGTGTTATGAGGATTGGAGGGATCTCACAGAACCCAGCTGCAAGACCTTGGAGGAAAGGGAAGGTCAACACTCACTCTCTCTCTCTCTCTCTCTGTCTCTCTCACCTGTGTTTTTACTTTGGTCTAACTCATTATTGTCTTCCTATGGATAAATGCCATGCCCAAACATTTGCTTACATGTAGTCCATAAGAGGGCTTCATTCCCAATTTTATATGAGCCCCCACCACACAGCTTCTCAACCTGACTTTGCCAGTCTTGTTTTTCTGGTTTCAAGTTTGAGACAGAAAGAGAAAGAGAGAGAAGAGAGAGACAGAGGGTGAGAGTCATGCTGGCTGGCTCAGCGTTGCTGAGATTGATGGCTCTAATGGCAGCAGCTGTCTCGTTCCAATCAGCTGTTGCTGTGGCCCAGCGGGCAGGGTCAGGGGCCGCCTAGTGCTGTTCATCATCTCGGGCTTGGGGCGGAGCAGGTTCTCCGAGAAGGAGGGAGGGAGGAAGCAATGGATCTGCCGCTGCGCTGTCAAGCATAATGACATCTTCACCAAAATTAAAGGCTGGCATGAAATTGGAGGTCATCTCCAATGATCTGCCCGGTCAAACTATTTGCAAAGAAAGTTGGTCTAAATCAACAGAGTGAAAACAGCAAGAGACTGAGAGGTGCACAAACCCCGGCTCTGGCTGCTTTTTGGTCTTCCAGTTTCCTCCAGTTGGGCTGGGTGAAGAAAGAGACGAAGGCTCTCCAATCAAGATGCTTTCCCTCTCCTGCTGTCAGGCCTAACTACTCCCTTCAAGCCAAGACTATGTCCTGAGGTCAGGACAGATCTACTCCTGCAGGCTCAGGAAAGGCAGGGCTGGCCAAACCACAGCGTGCAGCCCTGCAGTGGGATCTCATCTAGATCAGACGCTTTTATCTGTGTTGCCAGTAATCAGTGGAGACTTAGTATTACAACTTATAAATAATGTAATAAATATTTTTCATTTGAATGCGTAACACTTGTAAATGATTCTACTCACCAGTAATTTCCTTTGTCGTGCAATTTATTATTGTTCAGAAGTCGATTCTGAACAGCCCAAGGGCCCATCTTCCTTTTAACACCTACGGGAGGAAAAAAAAAAAAAAAAAGCAAAATCTTCTTATGGATTGTTTAATACCGACCCTCTTTCGTCATTTCGTTGTTTTATTTTGCTTTTTTGCATCTTTGTGAGAATTCGTTTTCTTTTATACTCTTGGTACTTCTTATCGCTTATTTCTACACTGTTTGAAAGGCTTGTCTTTGTTCTCGTAGCAATATTTTTCCATAGTGTGTCTACTGTACTAAGACTTGGGGCTCAGTGAGCCTTTTGGCCCATTTTAATTAACTTACATATTTTTCTCAATAGGAAGCAGCCATCAGTTGCTGGGTCCAGTTCAGTGATGGCTCAGTCACACCCTTGGATATTTATGATGGGAAAGACTTCTCCTTGATGGCCACATCTTTGGATGAGAAGGTGGTCTCCATCCACCAAGACCCCAAATTCAAGTGGCCCATCATTGCTGCAGAAACTGAAGGACAAGGCGCCCTGGTCAAGGTGGAAATGGTTATTAGTGAATCCTGCCAGAAATCCAAGCGGAAGAGTGTGTTAGCTGTTGGAACAGCAAACATCAAAGTTAAATTTGGCCAAAATGATGCTAACCCCAACACCAGTGACAGCAGACACACAGGGGCAGGGGTTCACCTGGAAAACAATGTCAGTGACAGAAGGCCCAAAAAACCCTTGCAGGAATGGGGGAGTCAGGAAGGGCAGTACTATGGCAGTTCTTCCATGGGACTCATGGAGGGACGGGGCACCACGACAGACAGGTCCATCCTGCAGAAGAAGAAAGGCCAGGAAAGCCTTTTCGATAACGACAGCCACTTGCAGACTGTCTCCAGTGACCTCACCAGCTTCCCAGCCCAGGTGGACCTCCCCAGAAGCAATGCGGAAATGGATGGGAATGACCTTATGCAGGCATCCAAAGGTCTGAGCGACTTAGAAATTGGGATGTATGCTTTGTTGGGTGTCTTCTGTTTGGCCATTTTGGTCTTCTTGATAAATTGTGTGACCTTTGCTTTAAAATACAGACACAAACAGGTTCCCTTTGAGGAGCAGGAAGGGATGAGTCACTCTCATGACTGGGTTGGGTTAAGCAACCGGACAGAGCTGTTGGAGAATCACATCAACTTTGCCTCCTCGCAAGATGAGCAAATCACTGCCATTGACAGGGGCATGGATTTCGAGGAAAGTAAATATCTCCTCAGCACAAACTCCCAAAAAAGCATCAATGGGCAGCTGTTCAAACCTTTAGGACCCATCATCATCGATGGGAAAGACCAGAAAAGTGATCCCCCAACATCCCCTACCTCAAAAAGGAAAAGGGTGAAATTTACCACCTTCACCGCCGTCTCCTCTGACGACGAGTACCCCACCAGGAACTCCATCGTGATGAGTAGCGAGGATGACATTAAGTGGGTCTGCCAGGATCTGGACCCTGGGGACTGCAAAGAGCTGCACAACTACATGGAGAGATTACATGAAAATGTGTAAGCCAGACACACGCAGACATTGGTTCTCACTCACCTTTCAGCCTTTAATTCCAGGATGTGTAGCAACGGTGCCCCCGGAAGAGAAACAAAGCAACAGGACAAAATAAGGATGACACTGTCCATGGAGCCTCAGCCAATGACCCCGGTTCAGCAGCGAGGCCTGGAGTCCGCATCGACGCACACATTCCAGAGTATAGTGTCTTGCTTAAGAGGTTTATCATGCATGGCAAGATTTTTCAGACTTGAAACAAAAACGAGTTTGGAATCACTGAGCATCTGAGTTTCCAGGAAAGAATAGCCTCTCTCTCTCTCTCTCTCGAATCAAAGCAATTTGGATATTGTAAAATCTACATGGCTCCAATATTCGATATTGCAGACTACGGGAGAAAAGCGCAACTCAGGTGGAGCATCCATGGATCAATGGGAGGAAGCTGTCCTCGAAACCGGAGCAGCACATCTCGCTGTGAGCGAGATCACGGGCGGTCCAGTGCCGCCGTCCGCTGGGGGAGGCATGACTGGGAGTCATTGTCTCTCAAAGGCTGGGCCAGAGCTGGCTCAGATCATGGGCAGGCCAAGGCAGTGGCTGACAAGGACTGAAAGGGAACATGTGGGCTAACAGGCCACAAATACCTTTGTAACTACATGCCAAGGACAAATACACGGACACAAATCCTCTGAGCCCTTCAGGGCACTTCTTTATTTGTAAACTAAGGATACTGGGCATAGAATTTGAATCAGGTTCAAAGAACCAGGCTCTTTTGATTCCTATCAAGTTCACAATGTATCCATTTCTATTCCTCCACTGCATTGCCACCCTCCCCAGAGCCGCTGGTCACCCGTGGGTGGGGGAGGGAGAGGGCAGTTTCTAGTGTTAGCTGAGTCTTTTTTCTCCCTCTGGGTTTTGTGTCAACTCCCAAGTGACATTCTATAAAGAAGCTCCCCCCACAGACCTGGGCGTATGTCCCACGCTGTCCATCTTTGAAGAGGCTGGTCTCTGGGCATGGGCGGTACTCACAGTGAATTCCACCCCAGGGGATAGACACTCCCTTGCTTTTCTAGAAAGAAAACAGGGCCACTTGGGACGGGTCTTTCACTGTTCATGGCAGATCTCCTGTCCAAGAATGTGCCCTCGAGGCTGTTGAGACAAATCTGGGTGCCTGTGTGGAATGTGCAGGACGTGTGGAGTTGGGGGGTTCTGGGTGTGAACGCGGTGGGTCCAGTAGGAAGCCTGGCCTCGCACACACCGGACAGCACAGAAGCCTTCTTCGCCTTGGAAGTGTGAAGGGATGAGGGGCGTCTGCGTGTGGTGGAGATGCAGGTCTGCAAGCACTTGGTCCTGCAGTCAGCCCCAAAAGGTTTCGCATTGCTTGAGATCAGCATGACTCAGGATATCCCTGAATCCCCTCACTTATGGAGCCTATGAAGATGGGGAGGAGACGTCAGCGAATTCCTGCCCCATATCACGCTCACTCCAAGGTAGAGAATGGTGTGTTGGGTGCCAGCCAGATAGGATCCTGAGAAAGATGGTAGGGGGCAGCGGGTGGAGGGCAGAAGAGGCCGTGCTGTTGAATCCATTCCATTTTTCACTCTTTGTCTTTTTCTTTCTCTCTGCTCTTTCGATGTCTGTTTTCCAGTCTGTTTGTGTGTCTCTGTATCTCTCTCCTCCTTTGAACCTATCTCCCTGCTTCCTCTCTGTCTCTAATTTTGAGTGTGTGTCTTTACTCCTTCTCCCTCTCCATAGAATTGAATTCTCTTTAGATCATGTGTGTGTAAATTTCACCAGTTTACCCTTCCAACCTTAGCCCTCTCCCCTGCAACTGTGGTGCTATCAGTTTGCTCTTGAGACTGGGGTTTCTGCAGCCAGTAAGTCACCTGCTCTTGTCCGCAAGCTTACCTACCTTGTTTGGTTGGGTGATTAAGCTGTCACCCCTTTTGATGAGAATCCTTTGCTTTCAGTAATGTCCTCATATTTCTTTCCATTCTTACCTGTGTCATATTCTGTTGAGTACTGCAGCCACTGCCCGCTCCCAAATCCATCTACGTGTAGAATGTACTGTAGATTGTAAGAATGTAATATATATTTATAAACTTACTGACTGTAAATATAAAGTTTGCATTCAGTGGCTTTATGGCTGTCCTTTGTCCTTCTCCATTGCTGACCCCCTCCAAGGGGCTTGCATCAATCGCAAATGGCTCTGCAAAAGCTGTGGCTCTAAATGAAATGCAGATTTAAGGATCCCAGCACAATCCAATTACACCCTTACATCGTGTAGTGCTGCTCTCTGCATCGAGGGGATGTTGACACGTGATGACAAAGTGCATTGTGTACTAAGTGTCTCTCCTTCAGGACCTGAAAGGATTTGCAAATAAATCACATGTGCAATCCTCTTCTAAAAGCCTACTGACTGATAGTGGTAAGTGGAAACTGTGGCAGGCAAGCATGTATTCCAGCCTTCTTTTGGGCTGGAGTGAGGAAAATTTTCCGTCCTTCCTTTGGGTCTTGAGTGTACATACACACAAAAACTCTGGGCTGGGTTAAAAAGTTGATTGTAGATTTCTTTATCAACTGCAGCCCCAAGACAATTCTACATAACAAGAAGTTGCATGGAATCCTTATATTCATGCAAACAATAGCAAGTGATAGATCAATCTTTTACTCAGCCGGTATTTACTGAGCAGCTACTCTGTACCAGGAATAGCTGCGAGCACTAGAGACAGAGTCATACATACAGCAAACGCACATGCACTTTCAAAAACCTTACTTACATCTATTTGGGTGGGGGGAATAAACAGCACACAAAATAATTTCAGATAGTCTGGGGTTTTTGTTTTTGAGACAGGGTCTTGCTCTGTCTTGTCGCCCAGGCTGGAGTGCAGTGGCACAATCTCAGCTCACTACAACCTCTGCCTCCTAAGCGCTGAAGTGATCCTCGCACCTCAGCCTCCTGAGTAGCTGGGACTACAGGCACATGCCACCACACTCAGTGAACTTTTGTAATTTTTGTAGCTATTGGGGGTCTTGCTGTGTTGCCCAGGCTGATCTTGAACTCCTGGGCTCAAGCAATCCTCCCACTTCGGCCTCCCAAAGTGCTGGGATTACAGGTGTAAGCCACGGAACCCAGCCAGTCATAAGTTTTGTAAAAGACAATGAAACTGGTTGCAGAATGGAGAAAATTGAGGCAACATTCAAAACTTTGATAATTTCACCTTAGAAATCTAGATTTCTAGCATCGCTTGAGAATTCAGACACTGGCAAAATGGAGCTGCCAATCTGACTTGGCCCCAATGGGGCAGAGTGGCACTGAGGTTTGAGTCCTCTCCACCCATGATGTCTTCTGGACCCAGAGTTGACCAACTCCATTTATGCTCCATCTCACCACTCTTCTAATAGGTGTTTCTCCCAAGTTACGGCTCTACCCAAAAGTGGGGGAAACAGAGAGGGAAGGAGCCATGTGTTTTCAAGATCATTCAGAAAGAGCTCATTGCTTTATGAAAGGAAAGAAGATTCCTGTGTGTCCCCTAGGCAAATATAGAATGTCATTGTCCACAGAACACAACTGAAGATGCCATTACGATGCAAACCGTCATGCGATCTGTGTGCCCAGAATCCAAGAAAGAACTGATAGGAAAATCTGAACTGAAATGTCCACGAGGTGTCTTTTCGAGTGTGAATAAATAAGTGATGCGGGTGGTTTCTCTCGCACCTGGCTGGTTCGCTCTCTGACGCCACCTGCGGGGCCCCTGGAGGCACTGAGTTTCCCAAACTCCCAAGGAAGATGGTGCTGGAAGCTGGAGGGCTGCCGGCCTCATCAGCATCTCTGTGGGGGTCTGTCCCTTGCGGCTTCTCAGTTCCCTCCCTGGACTGAGGTTACAGGTACTTTACCATA